ACGTGTGCTCTCCGTATGTTATTCTTTTTTTTATTAATCGTATATACTTCATATGTAGAATTATAAAACTCTCGTTTTTCCATAGTTTAGATGATATTCAAGATAATTCTATAATGCGAGAAGGTTATCCCGTAACCCATTCTATTTATGGACTTGGTAACACAATAAACGCTGCAAATTACGTGCAATTTGTTGCTTTTGAAAAACTTGCTAACTTACATCCCGCGGTAAGTAATTGTATTGTACTTAGAACAAAACCGTTTGACAAATTAATTCTTTTCGAATAAAAATACTACATTTAATCATAATAAATGCTATCTAAAGCTCAATAAAATCGAATCAGTATATTATCAGTATATATATTTTTGTTAAATAAAACGTAAATTAAGTTATGTATTTTTATGTCTTAACAGGCAACTAAAATCTTTATTGAAGAAATGCTGGAATGTTATAGAACTCAAGGAATGGAAATATATTTGACGAATAATTTCATTTGTCCAACTGAAAAAGATTACAAGATTATGGCAACAAGAAGTAAGAATTAGTAAATGTTTATGCTTTTGCAAATTTCTGCTGTATACATATAAGAAATATCGAAAGTTAAGTTACACGTATATAAAATATTAACTTCAATTGATTTTATAGAAAGTAGTTGGACGGTCAAGTTGGCAGTAAGATTAATGAAACTATTTTCTACTTATGAAGGAGACATTTCATCGCTAATAAGTGCTTTCGGAATGTACTATCAAATACGTAATGATTATTGCAACTTCTTTCATAAAAACGTAAGAAATAATATTTATTTAATTTAACTAAATAAAATTGATTTAATTAATTATAATGTTATTACAGGATAACGGTAAAAGTTATTGCGACGATTTAACCGAGGGAAAATTCAGTTTGCCTATTATTCATGCAATTAACAGTAATCCTGATGATACACAAATAATAAGTATCCTTTACTAAATATTGTATTTGTCATAAAATATCGAACACAATCAAATTGCAATGAATTAATTATTACATATACGATTACGTTCAAAATTTTTATAATTTACAAAATTTAAATATCCTTAATAAAATGTCGAAAGATATTCTAAAACAACATACAACGGATATCGAGATGAAACGCCATTGTGTTAAACTATTAGATAGTTTCGGATCGTTGAAGTACACG